ATCTTCTTCAACTCTCATATCAGCCTTTTCATCCTGTACAAGAGGTTCTTTCACTTTGGAGGTATCTTGGCTTCTCTGGAACCATTATCAGATACTTTAGGACATGCACACATGCACTTCCTCCAATAGACTTTGAGGGACCAATGGATTTCTTCTCTGGATCCCCAGTCCTTGATTGTGAAAATCTCGATTCTCTACTTAAAGTATTGTTACAGTGGTCGGACTATGTCAATGCTCCCTTTCAAGTTCCTTTACCACCTCATAGACTGCATATCCACCTCTTCACTGATGCTTCCCTCTCAGTATGAGGCACTTCTCTGAACAATGACATCTGACATTTGGATGTAGGATGAGCATTCACTCCACATCAATGTTCACCTAACTCTCTCAGGTCCATGCCTTGATATGTAACACTCTTTGTTGAGTCCTACTGACGTCAACTTTTTGGCCAGCTCAGCCTTGGTTTCCTCTGCTTTATAACTTAGCATCTATATCCCTTTCCTTTACCTTATCTATTACTTCAGCTTCACATGTTCCTTTTTCCTCATGGAATATCATCCCTCCATCTTCACATGTGGGATTTGTCCAGTCTGTCACCTGTCAGGTCAAACTCTCCGATCATATAGTATTCTTTTTGTCACATTCATGTTGCCCATCTACAGTCTATCAACGAAAGTGGTGGGTCTTTTATCGTTGGTCCATCTGCCATCTGTTCCACTTAAGTACCCTATTGTGAACAACCTTTCTGCCTTTTTTACCTGACTGTTTGAGCATGGTTTGTTAGTCTCCACTGTTGCTGGTTATTGAGTTGCCTTGTCCACTACATTTCTAGTACCAAAGAGTTCTTCTTCGCCTGTCCTTTCTACTCTTTTTCCACCTTCACCAACCTACTCACCCAACTCCAATACCTGACTAGGACCTTAATGTGGTTTTGCACACTACTACACATGCCACAATCGAGCCATTGGCTTCTTGCTCTTTGTACCACCTTTTTCTCAAACTTATTTTCTCCTTCTTCTCACCTGCACTCACCATTGTTCAGATGTCATATGCTATTGGTGCTTCTTCCACCATATTTATATACTCCTTTACCCAGACCAATCTTTCCTTCTTAAGACTTCTGCTGCTCAGGAAGGTAATTTTTTTTTTTTCCTATATCTCTTTCACCTCTCATCTATATAATGATTCAGACCTGGATTAGCTCCCATGTCTTATTTGGGCTGTTTGGTGTGACTTATCATTCTACCTTTCAAGATTCACACTATCACTGTTCCTACCCTGGGCCCCTCTTCTTCCAGGCACCTCTCCTCCTACCCTCACTGGATGGGTCTGTCAACTCCTCCAGTTGGCATAATATTCTCTGGATGTAGATGCTTGCATGCTATTTCACATTTCTTCGCATCAGACTTGTCACCTGTCTCATTCTGTTGCTTCCCATCTTCAATACTTTTCAACAATTTCCTTCATCATTTGTCTGTTCTGTCTCCAGGAGGATCTTGACTTCATCCATTGCCATTCTTCAATCAATTCACTGTCTTTGAGGTGGTTAAAATATGTTTTTTCTTCTTCAATAAGGATCCTGCCAGGTGGTTGGTGTTGCCTCCCATGCTATGCTTATTTCCCAAAATCTGCATCGAGCTGGAATAATAGAAAGTATTCAGCCCATCTGCCCTGGCTTTACCAGTGTCCACAAGACCACTTGAGACATCCTCATGGTATACATGTTTACTTAATTATCCAACTCAGACTGTATCATTCCATGGACTATCATGGAAGTAGCAGCATGAGGGAAGTGACTGCCCACTTCACTGGCTTTCCCTCACTGGTTTTTAAAGATAGAGTTTCATGGTCACCAATTGCACTGACTCCAGTGGAAGAACCTTTCAGACAGGCATCCAATGGGGATCCAGATACTTCTCCGGGCCTTCCCAACATGAATTCTCTCTCTCCTCTTCTAGTGGAGTGAGGGAGACTTGCTACATACTAGTTCCTAGCCACTGGGGTGGTGGACCTAGGAAAGTGCATCACTGATTTGGCTTAGCACAATATGGTGAGAAGTAGGATGGTAACGAAGCTATCCATGTAGTGTAGGTCACCCTTTAAACAACTGCTGCCCTTTTCTTACACCCTGAGTCTGTCTAGTTGAGTTTAGGTGCACACACATCATACAGTCTGATTGCAAACTACACATATTGTGAGCTTGGTTGGTCGTGATCACATCTTGCCCATCCCTGGGACATTTAGGCTCCTTTTCTTCTCTGGTGAAGAGTATACCCTGGTCAAGATGAGATGCAGTCTCCTACAGGTGTGTCCATATGGAGCTTTTTCCGTCAGGTATCACACTCCATATGCTTACATGGGCATCCGCAAGAGGGAACATTTGCCCCCTCCTTACATTCCACAAAAAAATTGTACGTATTAGGATATAAACTTAACATTATAGTTAAACTAAATATTATTAGTAATTTTTTTTAAAACTGTAAACTTGTGTTTGGATTTAAGCACACATTACACATATACTTTTAGTCTGTTGACTTACTCTGCAAAAGCTGATCCCCTGCATACATGTTTTGCCCTCCTCCCCCCTGAAAATATTTCTGTGGGTATCCATATAGGCTTCCCTTCAGGCAATTTCTGAAGGGAGCTCATGTAGGTAGTTTTATACACTCTAACATGGGCTTCTAGCATTTATGTGTGTAGGGGTGAGTTATTATCTCTGAAGTGATTTTCCTAATTTGAAAATGTATTTCCTATAGATACTTCCACACACATTCCCATCTGACCTCCCCACTTCTAGTGCACATTTTTTTTTTCCTTGCCTCAGTTAAAATTGAAGTTATGAGTGAGTGCAAGTGTTTAGAGGTAGTTACTGTGCATGGTGGTTGTGGAAAACTATTGTCACATGATCACGTCATCATACACCAGCATAGTTCATATTAAACACATGAATTTAGATTGGAGTTAACTCAAGGCTAGTGGCATCCAAGTCTCTTGGACAGATGCATGAAGGAAATAGCATTTTTGTTGTGGAAACATCTACTGGAAATACATTTTCCTATTCTTTTTTATTTTTTATTCCTGTAAACTCCCAGTGGAGCATAGGATCGCAACAACACCTCGCCAACGGAAGGTGTTGTTGCAGTTACTTGTAGCAGTTTTATGGGGTGGAATTGCTAGCCCTGCACCCAACCCTCCCCATTCTCATCCTGGACTTGGGACCAGGCAGAGGCGGAGGTTGGCATGTTTGGTGTGACGGGGATTCAAACCAGCGACCCTCAGATTACGAGTCGAGTGCCCTAACCACCTGGCCATGCCGAGCCTACATTTTCCTATTAGGAAGATGTTAACTTTTTGTTAAATTCTTTGAGAAAAGATTCATAAGTTCTTGAGATTTTATATGTAGAATAAACTGAAGTTTTCACCAAGTTTTCTTAAAACACAGTTGGCATATATCTTGTAACAGTAAAACAAAGGCCAGTAAATCTTTTTTTTTCTTATTACGTAAACTGCACATTCAAAGTTATCATCACAGTTATGAATTTGTGTGTCTCAAAACTCCAGAAATTAAGGAACATGATTTGAATCCTTATACATAGTAAAACTGTCATCCACATACTTACTCCCAATAATAGAATGGTATAAAAAAATGATTTTAACCCTTATAAATACTAAAACTGTTGTCCACATACTTACTTCCAATAGTAGAATAATATAAAATAATGTGGTCAATCCATCAACTTTTTTTTTTTCTTTCATAAGACAAAAAAAAAGACTTAATTAGAGATGAAACCAATCTGGAATCTATAGTTTGTTCATAAAAGGTACCATTGAACAAAAACTGGTTTCTTAGTTACAAAATTTATTAAACTCAAAAATACAGATTTTAGAATGCATAAATCATTTGATTTGTCATTTAAACTTAAATATGCATGTAACTGTGTTATTTCTTTTGAAGGAATGTTAATTGTGATATTAACTTTGAATGTGAAGTTTATCATAAAAATTTTACTGACCTTTAATCTTAAAAGTTATATACTAATTGTTTTAAAAGGAAATTTCACTGTGCATATAAAATCTCAAACACCTATAATTTTTTTGTATACAATTTTAACATCAAAAAATTACAATACAAAAATGTTTTTTCTCTTTATTTTGTTGATCAAGTTAAGCATCATGACTACTTAAACAACAGAACTTCGGTAAACTGTCAGCATGTGAAGTTTCTAAGTGTCCAATTTTTATAACCTTATCATTTAACAATAAATATTCTTTATTTGTTAATAAACAATTACACATTACTTCATGAAATATATTTACATGCACAACTTAGATGCATGTTTAAACCAAGTTGTCATCTGCAGTATTTCTTTAAATATAAAGGTTGCATTTCTTTATTGAAAACATTAATGGTAGTTCATTGATTTACCTGTTTTGTTACAAGCAAGGTTATATCAGTTCTACTACATGGAAGCTGCTGATGTGAGTGAAAGAAAAAGTGAATTTAAAAATGCCAAATAGATGAACTGTGTTGGAGCATACGCTAAATGAATGTGATGTAGTCATCCATTCAAAGTATTCTAAAACCTTAAGAAGGATCAATGATGAACAAAGCCTCCATATAAAAGAGAGCTTAGTCATTCATAACTCATAACCTGAAATCAAATATTAACCAGGTTAGTTCAGCTTTTAAATTCCTGCTCTTTTCATAATTTTGAAGATAAGGTGGAAAGTTGTATTTCATTATTTTCATGCATAACTTTTTATAGAAAATAATTAAACTAGTTATTTAAAAAATGTATTTTTTGTGCTTTATAATTTAAACTTATTTTTAACTGTTACATACATTTAGAGGTTAACATGTGAAAAAATTTCACCCCAGTAGTTGAGAATCTACAATGCAGTGTAACCTACAGAAATGTATTTTCAGTTGATAGAACAATTGGATTAGTTCTACAGTACTAAAAATCTCCACGGAATATTTTTCATTTTTAAATACTCAGATATCAACACCACCGACTTATACGGATGTAAATAAAGGAGCAAGTCCAAGCTCCACAAGAATTTCTGTTACCAATGAGCAAAAACATTTTACAAGTCAAAACCACATGATCCAGGATGCTGTGATGATTCCTCAGATACAAGTAAAAAAAATAAACTATGCTAGTTTTTATAATGATACTAAAACAAATACTTATTCGTATGCATGAGTATCTGCATATTGCTAGTAATTGTAGTTTAAACCAAATGAAGTTGTTCTATATACTTATAGTAGTTAAACATTTGTCTGTATATTTATATTCATTTTGACAAACTATTCTCATAAGCTTCACCAGAATTATTAAAATATTTGCACACTCATTTTTCACATCAAGAAAAAGAAGGTATTCAAAATGACATTGTGTTTATAATTTTTTATCATGACTCGTAGGAAATTAACAGGTATTGCTAGTTATGAAACATTAAATATATTGTATACATATTTTGATTTAACTTACAGGTAAAATTTGATTCTGTAATGATATTGCGTTATTTCCATGTGTAACTTCAAATTATTATGAAATAATCAGACTAATTTCTTGATCAAAATATTGCATTTTCTTGAGCTTTATATCTTAATATTATGTTAACTGTTGAAAACATTCCCATTGTATACATATAGAAGTTAACATTGAAAATAATGAAACCCACCTCATATTAGCTTATGTTGTTGTGGTGTGTTTTGCCATTAGCCAGATTATTATGGATTACTTTGTAAAAATATTGCAAATTCTAGTTCAGATAATGATATTGATTAATAAGTGAATACATTTATTACAGTCTAAATTTACTTTTAAGCTTAACTATGCATACAACAATTCAAATAATGTTTAACACAATTTTCAAAAACTAACATAAGCCTAACTCACAAATAAAATTAGTTGTGCAAGTTCAATCAGAGATGCACCAACTCTTGCTGTCTAACTCTGAATCACAGATGCAATTACTCTCACTGTCTAACTGCCATTGAATGAACTAAATCCATAACTGCTGATCAGTCAATAATTCACTACTTTATTGATTCATATATTTATTTCAAACTCATTTTCTACTTCCTACACAAAATTTCTAGATTATATCATGGTCATCATTATATAATGAAGAACTCCATCTAGCAAACAAACATCTAAATTAATGTATTAAAATATAGTTTACAACAATATGATTAGCCTGTAATTTAGAGTTTATAATAATATAAGCCTGAAATTAAAATTTCTAGATTATATCATGGTCATCATTATATAATGAAGAACTCCATCTAGCAAACAAACATCTAAATTAATGTATTAAAAATATAGTTTACAACAATATGATTAGCCTGTAATTTAGAGTTTATAATAATATAAGCCTGAAATTAAAATGTTATATTTTACAGATAACAATCAAATTATGTTTAACAGGCAATATATGACATATCAGCATTGAAAATGACAAATTATCAGTGAAAAATTATTTTTAATGTCCATTAATTCACTCCTACATTTTAGGGACTCAGCATTGCAATTCTTATATTTTCTTACCTGTGGTTGCTCATTCTGAGATGTTTCCTCACCTCTGCATGCAAAATAGCTTTATCCTTCATGCATGTGCCACTTGCCTTGAGCCAGCTCCCACGTAAAATTCACGTTTTTCATGAATTGCTTTGTTGCATGATATTGTCATTATGCAACCAAAGCCCTCCACCAATAGGAGGGTGACACAACCTCCTTGCACAGCAGCTCTCCTTCAGTACTTGTACTCAAAATAAGATTTCTTTTCCTCGAATGGATCAGTCTGCCTGTACCCTGCCCATAGTTTAAAGCTACTTAGGATAAATTTATGTAGTTTCACAGTACATTTGAAGTCATTCTAGAAAGAAAAAGAGGGTAATTTAGATTTATTTCAGTTTTGTTTTGGTGGTTAGGAAGTCAGTCAAATTGACCAACCTTGTACAGAGTTAGGGTAAAGAAAATTACAGATAAAATAAAAGTTAGTAATATCAAAACTATAATGAATTTGAACGAATAAAAAGAAGTCATGTGGTTGGTCAAATTGACTGAGCCTGTGTTTAGAGAGTTAAATTCCAGGTTATACAGTCATGAGCAAAGCCCACAAGCCACCAGCTAGAGGAAATTTATGTGTAGACTAAATAAAATGCAGAGACAACTGACTACAAATCATATAGTTTTTTATTTATACCTTCATTTATGTACTGTATAACAACACATCTATGTTAAAACTCTCAAGGTTATCTTGAAATAATACTAATTCTGAATCATTAAACTCTTCCTTCTGAAGATTGAGATGTTCATTAATAAGTCCTTCAACTATATTCATCAACTTAGATACAACATTAACTAAGATATCAACTGAGTTAACATGAGAAATTCTTTCAGTCATAATTTGTCTTATATAACTGCATTAACAATTCTTCCAATATATCTTCAAGTAGTTCAATGATAAGCATTACTAAATCTACTATTTCTTTAGTACAGTTAGTATTTTTTCACTTTTTCTGCTTAGATATTATACATTATCAAACATTACATTAAGTGAAACACTGTTAGACTGTATCTGAGATAGCATACTTACAAGGAGTTTGTATGGCAAACTTCTTGGAGAGTCTCGAGTACTGCCATCTTCAGTCTTCTCATTAAAGCAACTAGAACCATAACAAGTCAAGTTTAGAGTAGGAAACACAGAATTATATATGCAATGGTAAGCATTTTTTCCATTTTTTTCAAGAAGTCCAACAGATCTACATTTGAAAGTGGAGTCTTCCATCAACAAGTGGACAATTCCATCAAACTGTAACAAAACCCAATTTGTAATTGGTCTTTACAGAATTAATTTCTGTCCATTATTTGATATCCTTGGCAAATATACAAGATGATTGTATATTAGAGTCTATAGAGACAATTCATGCAACTTCAGTTTCTTCACAAATACAACTCCACTCATTAGTTTTCACCAAAGTCCCATTAGCCATTTTAGCTGACATTGCTTCATCTAGTCATGTGCCATATCTAAACAATTGCAGTTTCATCTTAGCACACCATATCTGTTTGACAATAGGATTCGTACCTGTTATTTTCAACATGGAATGCATACATTACTAACTTGTGCAATGGGCTTCAACTGTGTCTCCTTATTTGTTAATACGGCTCACTAGTTAGTGTCTATATTTTTTATAACTTTCTTCGATCTGCTTTATTTTTATATACCATATGTTATACACAATCTCTATTTCTTGAAAATCTTTCCTCCCTTCCTTAAAGAAATTTTTATTTTTTATAATAATTTCAACATACAATCTCCTTGATCTACTTCTATCAGAGCATCTAACAATGCTTTCTTTGATTTACCTTAAAACTGATTACTCTGATAGAATATCTTTACACTTTACACAAAATTAATATCACTCTTCTCAACTTACATCAATTAAACTGTTACTTCTTTACCTCCCATATCAATTATGTGTGGTATGTATCAAAATTAAGGGTACATTTTAAAACCAAAATCAAAAGTAACAATAACATAAAACATATATATATATACACACACACACACACACACACACACATATACATACATGTATATATACTTCCTTAATTGTGTATGAAACACATGAAAACTCAAAACCAAAACATATTCAGGTATTCTTGGTTTCTTCTTTATGCACAAATTAAATGATAGTCTCATTCTCAGTTTTCTGCATTTTGAAGCATTTGTTCTTCATTTTTGATGATAACTCAAGCTAATCCTATTAATTTGGTTACTATCATTTGGTTTTTATAATCTACTAACCTCTTCGATTTGTCATTTATCTATTTCAATTTTGTCATCGATCTACGTAATTATCTGGGGCCTACTCAATTTTGCAACTTGAAGTCGTTTAATCCCACTGCTTCACTAGCTTCAGAATAGGATACATTTTTATTCTCCTTCTCACCTTTTTTTCTCTTGTTGCATTTTAATAATCCATCTAATTTTAACATTTTTATCCAAACTAATTTATCTTGTGCCTGGTAAAACAATATGCTTATCAGGAGTACTAATAGGCATAATTTTATCAGCACTGAATTCGATAATTTCCACTTAGCTAACCTTTCTTTTCTCTGATAGATTACAAATATTGTGTATGCTGTTGGAATTCTGTAATGTTAATCCTGATTGTTTAGGGGGTAAATGTTGTGTTTCTGCTAGTATACTTTTTCATTTGTTAATTCATTAATTCACTTCTATTCTTCTGATTAATTGTGATTCTTCTTCAGTTAATAATCTTGTAGATCATCTATATTTAAGTTTAATTGTGCAGCAGTATATTTAGTTTTACCTCTAAAACTGGAGGATAAAATTCTTCTATGTCCGTGTGCTGAACAATTCCTAGCTATCTCTTAATTTAATCACTTCAGATTAATCATTGAAATAATGCACATTAGATTTTGGGCATACTACAGATAAAGCTAGCTCACTTCTAACATTAAATAGCCATGTTCCTGGTGTCTTAAGTTTAAAGAAGTAAAACGTTTAGGAACACTCACTCTTTTCTTGCATAGTTCTGTTATTTTATTTTTAATACTTGCAAGTATCACATAGTTACAAGTTAGTATGGGTGCATAATAAATTCCAGAATTAGGGTCATATACTCTAAATGGTCCATCTGTACATTTTAGTGTATCCTTCTCTGTTAGCTCTAGATATATGTGTTGATCATTAGAAACAGCCATATGTGGCTTTTCACATTTTATAGTTAATGCTGATAAATTATTCAAGGCTAATGGCAAGGGTATTATATGATACAGTTTAAACATTGTCTCTTGCCCTTAGGGTAATGTCTATAAACATTCGTAGTGTATCTCTTACTGCAGCAGTTTTTACATAAGCCCATATATAATACATGTAAATCTGATCACTATATGTAGGGATTACAAACTGTAAATGTGGGGGTAATCTTCTTTGAATCTCATCTAATACTCTTTTTTTTTTTTGTAGTTCACCAAGCTAGTAGAAAGTAAGAGCTTAACTTTCTATCTGCAGCTACATGTAATGCTTGTACTAATTTTGTGAAGGTATATTAAAAGTTAGCAGTATCAAATCTATAATGGCTGAACAAATACAAAAA